TCGGCCATGGCGGCGCCCATGCACGGCTGCTGCAAAGCGTCCATAGTCGGTGCCAGGATAAGAGCGGAGCGGAAAGTCCTCTCACCTATTTGCCCTTTAGCAGAGCGAACGTTGGAATGGAGGCGGCGTACACTCCAGCGCTCGCTCTGCTAAAGTGGAAAGAGGTGGGAGGAGTTTCCACTGCACTCTTAAACTGTCACCGATTATAATTAATATCCGAGGAAGATCTGGCAGTACGTCGGATATATTATTGACTCCAGTGAAAAAAAAAAAAAAAACCTAAATGAAAGAGAGAAAAAAATTGAGGTTGTGGAGAGTTGACAGTTTTATATACGGCGCCGGCTCCAGAATTTATGTTTAGTAATATATTTACAAAGCATGTTGAGAACCAAATATTCTCAGCCTTGACCTTTTGATGATGATTAATTTTTACTGGTTTAAATCTGCTAAATACGCCGCCCTGGGAAAGGCTTTCCAATACGTGTAGTGGACGACGAATGAGAGCCTTTATATTTTATTTTTATCGCTCTCTTTTAAAACAAGCAATTATGAAAGCTTAAAGAAAAAAATCCAGGCTTAAATCTCTTCTAACAAATTGGTTTAAGGTGATATTTTTGTTTTGTTGAAAACGAGAGTATTTTAAGATATATTTGCGAAATTCAACAACATGTAGTCGTTATGTCAACTTATATTTTATCAGGCCACATATATGGCATAAAAAAGAGGCAATAACTCCATCAATCAGTGTTTATTAGGGTTCGGGAACAACCCATTTGTGCGCACGCTGGACAACTTAATTAAAAACCTCACACGCGAACAAACCCAAGGGCAGAAGCAGTTTTCAGTCCACATGTCTGACGCTAACCTAAAGACGAAGTCAGAGGGTTAGTGTCGGATCTTCAAGACAAACGAAAAGCACAGAACAGGAACGCGGCCAAGGCGTACAGTGCTCGACGAAACGAAATAGAACACTGCAGCACGTGACCTAGTAACTGCGTATGCTCAGCTTCAGGAGCATGCATATTCAGTTACTCTAGCCTATACGGCTAAATTAAACAGTTACTCGAAGTTAGAGTCGTTATATGGCTCCGTCATTTAGGATCTCTCATGGAACTGTATATTCATGAGGCCACAGAATCCGCTGGTTTATTTTTCTTCTCGTTAGGCACTGTACATATTCGAAGCAAAAAGAAAATAATTTGCTATCGTAATGACACACAGGTATGTGTTTTGGCACTTTTCCAGCATGAGCAGTTTTTAACACAGTGATCATACCTAGTGCTACAAGATATTATAAAAGGATGACATGGAGTAATGTAAGTGCTGTCGAGACCGGTTATAACGAAGTAAACGGGAATCGAAAATCGCTTCGCTATATCCGCTTCTTCGTTATACATGACCTCATACAAGTAACATAAAGAAAAAAGAAACGTCACGGATTGTCACGGGCAAATGTTTATCGAGCCTGCGGAAAGCGGTCGAGGCTTCCCTGCACGCGTCCTCTGCTAGATCGGAGCCACGTCTAGTCAGCCGCGAGAAGCTCCGATCGGAAAAAGGATCCTGCTACGTACGGACCGTGTCGACAGCTGCGACGGCCCCGCGGAGGACGCAGGCAGAAGACGTCATTCTTTGCATTCATGCACACTCCGTCGAGGATGGCAATTAAGCCTTTGATTTAAGAAGATTGGCTTCGTCTTCCCCGTCAAGGTGCCGGCGGTGCCGGTGCTCTCCATCATTGAGTGGCGATGATTCGCCGAATCGGTGCTTGAGCGAAGTAGACTTTCGCGCAAGAGTGACCTCACCGACCAGACGTCGACACGGATTACGAAGCAGAGAGGCGCGCACGGCCCGGAGTTGGCGCTCAAGCTCGTCGGTCGTCCGTATCGAGAGCCTAGATTTAAGAGACGGGGCAACTGCTTGATCGAGGTCACATGGCTCGTGCGCCGCGTTTGCAAAATGAGCTGCAGCGTATGCAAGAAGTCAAAACTCAAAAGCATTCACCTTCTGCAAACGTGTCCCCCTCTCTGCCCAGTTTCGTCGCCACGCTGGCCACGCGACAATCAAATACAAACGTACTTAGAGCTCCTTCTCTTAAATCTGGGCTCTCTCAGTCATCTCCGCCGGTACGTTGTTGCTAGTAGAGGGGCTCTAAGGCCCGTTCACGCTTTTGCGACCTCTTAGAACTAGTAGCCTTGAAACCTCTTACAACGAAAGGAGACACTGGCGCCATCTATTGGGTAGCCGTGTAAACTTTGCGGTCCGGCATATTTTCTATTTCTCGCGCATTATCCTTTCTTTCTTGGTTCGAAAAACTTTCGTCAACGTTATAAACGAGCCTTTCTTATAGGTATTACGCACATTTGACCTCGGAAATCCCGCAAAACCTTCGCTCTTGTGAAATGCAGTTCCAGGGTCACCGCATAGATGGCGCCAGGATTCCAGTGTGTTTAACGTCCCTGGATATTTTTGCGTTTTTACAGGTAGCGACAACTTTCCTCCTTTCCATCTACAATTCCTCTTTCCCCCAAAAATTTTCCCCTCTCCCTCTCTAGCGCCGTCATTCGCTTCCTAACGTCAAACGGGAGGGCGGTTCCGCTGTGTTGTTACGTGGTTAGCAGTAGCGTAGTCTTCCTTGTTTTGGTAATTTCCAGCGCATGAAATTAATTTGGATATCATCGGGTTACATACGTGAATCGAAGGTAAGCGGTTATTTCCGCAAAAGCACATATATCTATATATCAATATTTTGCTGTAATCCCTATCATACCGCAGCGAGAGCTTTCGCGAGCAATGCTCTCGGCGATGCTAGATATGTGCGCGCCTGCGTTACAATAAACTATTTATATTTGTAATAAAGACAAATACCTTGTGAAATTTCATTCCGTCGTCGATAGAGCCGCATGGTTAAGCTATTGTGAGAACTCTATTTTGTTTGCAACCATTCTCCCTTGTGGCGAGCGTTGGTAATGCTACGCAAACGTGTGCACGGTGTAGACGCAAACGCGTCTCGAACTCATTATTTTGGGGTGTATCTACATGACTTCAACACGCATTTTGTTATAAGCACTAGTAGCAGTGTTTGGATGGAAAACAAACGTCGTGCAAAGTAGTGACCTTGACGAGTTTGGACGGTGCGAGATCGGTGCGAGATCCAAACAATATTTCGGGTGAAGTTACACCATCGCACGTGTTATCCCCACATGCGATAACGGGCAATCTCGTCCTCGAACCTCTACTACAGAGCCGTGTTTGGTCTCAAATGACCCTGTGAAGGATTCTAGCTGGCAACTTTCGCTGTTTTTGATTGCTGGATAGCATACCTTCAGTGTGCAGTGAAGAAATGTTGCATACAACTTTTATTATTTTGCAACATTAAACGGTGAATCCAAGACCAATTTTATTAGATCACGTTCAAGGAATTCGTTATGAACGTGTTTAATGTCTCTGTCTACTTTTTTCTGCCTAGCTTCCACTGTAACATCCACGTAGATATTTTTTTAGACAAAACCCCCGAGAGTGGGGGAAGGAAGGACAACACAACACGAAGCACATGCATTGTGCAGACATTTTTGTTTATTTCAGCTCTTGTCGCGCGATTATATATACTGTATATCTCAAAAGACAAGTGTTGAAACTCATGAGCAGTGCAGTAAAATATAATTAATGTAATTGGGTTCACGCAAATGCAAAGCACATAAATAGTAAATATGGGAAGACCCCAACTTTGTTGCAATTTAATTGAACTGCCAGATGTTATGATATGTATGCAGTTTGTGTATTCATGGTAGTGAAGATATGAAGAAAGTGTCTTGGATAAGACAACGCAGATTTTTAAAAATTTTTTTATTGAAGATCTTTTTAGGAAGCGATCAATGTTCCAGTCGAACAAGTCATCCCACAGGAGATCAGGAGAATATGCTTAAAATAAAAGATAACACAAAGAGAAACAGCTACTAGGGTGAGCTAGAGGGGGAGGTGTGCTCATTGCCTACTTCGCTTCATTTTAGTGATCCAGGATGGAAGTGTGAAGAAGAGCACCCACAGCATCACTTCTATGCCAAAGCAGAAAATGAGCACACCATACCCCTCCAGCCCACTCTACCAGCACTCTTACAATAGAGAAGACGCCATGAATGCTTTTCTTGCATGCGATCAAGTCCTCGTCTTTCTCTTCACATAAGTGTGCCCTCCCTTTCTCCTATTAGCACTTCAAAAAGATAAAGATGTCCATGGTGGTTGTATTTCCAATTTTTTGAGTGCCGAGATACTGGATTTCTGGTGTTTATCGGAAAACCAACGACTGTGTCACTGCCAAACAGGGATGGAAACGCTAAATAAAAATTCTCCGAGCGTTGAAACTGAAAACTCCTCCGAAATCAACGACGTCTCGCGAGTGCAACGGCCACTGACGCATTCAGCACGAACCCCAGCAGCCATTGCCGATGATAACAAAGGTGCCAATCCAACCGGCGATGACCACCAACCGACCTGAATGGCGATGATGATGAAAATTTTCAGTGACAGAGAAGTGGCTTTTCCAGCGATTGTGAGGCGAGCCGACAGGGAGACAACACCAGAAAGATGGTTGGCCCTGGTGATCGAGCGAAGTAAAGGACCACATGAACGGATGCCCAATGGTTGGTGGCCAAAAATAACAATCAAGTATAATCGGAAGCATAACCAGAATGTAACGTCGACAACGATGAAAAACAAGCATACCCAGTGCAAAACGTCGAAACAGCCTACTCAATCGGGCAGTGGTCAGGTGGCCGAAGAAAGAGAATGGCCGTTGCCAGCGACCATAACAAACAGCCAACTGTACACCAATATAAAGAATCTGCTGGCCAGTAACATTGAGCTGGCCCTTAATCACTAAACTGACCGAAAGAGAGCAAGAAAGGTATACAGTCAGGAAGTAAACTATCAGGTCATCGGGATTGAGCTGGAAAAGAAGGTGAATATTCTAGCAGAGCTGAATGATTTGATCTGCGCTTGCCAGCTCACATATGAGGAGGTGACAAAAGGAAGTTGAACTGAAAGGAGGCCATTAAAATGAAGATAAAGGAGCTTAGTCAACAGCTGCAAATTGTCACCAGTCAAACAGAACAAAGCTCCCTCGAGAGCATTAAAACGAATTTGCAAAGCCAACCAGTACCACTCTAACAACAGGGACCAGTTGAAGAAGCTTGAGGACCAGATCGAAGAGGAAAGGGCAGTCTTTCACAAAAAACCGATCACTGCGGCAAACCGGATTGAGTATCGGAAAACGAACAAGCTGTTCGAGCTCAATCGGTCTGCCTTCTGCGGGAAACTTGACGAAGACCAGAAGGAGATAGACGAGAACATTGATGTTGATCAGGTGCTTACTTTCTGGCGAGGAATCTGGGCAACCGATGACGAAGAAGGGGAGCACCAGGAATTGATTGACCTATTGGACCCAGGGAAGGTGTACATGACTGGACGGAGGAGCCTGCTGCCAGGAATGAGGGAACCGCACCTTACCGTTCGAGGCACTCGTCCCCTGCGGTGTGCCTGGCTGGAAGAAGGAGCCTGCTGCCAGGAATGAGGGAACCGCTCCTGAGTAGCGAGCAAAGAGCACAGCCAGCGTAAGTCCTGTCATTCACTTCTACACACGACTGTCATTCGTTCAGGGAAATGTCTTACCCTTCGAGGCAGTCGTCCCCTGCGGTGTACACGGCTGGATGAAGGAGCCTGCTGCCAGGGATGAGGGAACCGCACCTGAGTAGCGAGAAAAGAGCACAGCCAGCATCAGTCCTGTCGTTCACTTCTACACATGGCTGTCATTCAATCAGGGAAACGTATCACCCTTTGAGGCAGTCGTCCCCTGCGGTGTACATGGCTGGACGGAGAAGCCTGCTGCCAGGAATGAGGGGATCGCTCCGGAGTATCGAGCAAAGGGAACAGCCAGCATCAGTCCTGTCGTTCACTTCTACACACGGCTGTCATTTGTAATTTTATAAGGAATGCTCATAATTGTGAAGGGAGCTGCTCCCTGCAGCATTAATCGAGAATGGGCATAAAGCTCTTATATGTTCTGTGTGTAATTTCATGCGAAAGCAATATTGCACCCTTTGGCATTGACTTACTTTGTTTAAGCACAGAGCGCTGACCAACAGTTCTTATTAGGATGGAGCCTGCCATTTTCGATTTTTGTACCGAGACTTGCAGTGAACCTGTAAATTTTGTAGGCACAAAATGAAAGCCCACAATATGGTGCATGCAGCAGACATTTGTATGGCAGAGTAGTCAATGGTCACAGAAATGCATTTGCTTTTGAGAGGGACCAATAGAGACAAAAAGAAAGAAATTGTTTTCGTCCTGCCACCAATAGACCCACCTCACCAAGCGTTCGGCGCATACATGAAGCCGCCATAACTTTAGTTCACAATAGGTAGACGGTGGTGCCCGAGACGGCTTGTGCTGTCTCACGCGCAGAGTTCCAGTGTTTCGGGCACGCGCAGAAAGACTGAAGTTCCCTCAATGCATTGCAACAGCGGTGGCGCGTAGTCAAACTGGCTGGTGAGACCGGTTCATGGCATGAATTCCGTACGCCTCACCCCACTGGTGTTAAGGATGGTTCTGACCTAACATAGTGCGACACTGTTAATGAAAACAAGGGATGAAAAATGTTCATATCGGGCACAAAGTTGCACCCTATTATTTGGTGCCAGCATTTACTAATTCAAAGTAAAATGCAAAGAGCGCCGCAGTTGTACTCGCACTAACAATGTCATGCGGCATTTGTGTCTGGCCATCATGTTACTCACCAACTGCAGCATCCGCATTGGGCACAAACTCCCTGTCGCAGCTTTGCATCTCGCTGGAGTGGGCGGCTGTGAGTATGGGCAAGGCTCGTGCTGAAGCCGCGAATTTCATCAGCAGGCAGGTAAATTCCACTCACGCTGTTCATTACAGCAGGGACCAGGGGCGGATTTAGAGGGGGGGTCAGGATGTCCTGACCCCCCTCTCGATTTTTGCATGTGTAAAATTTAGGACGTGAAACGAGGGGGAGGGGGCTCCTAAACGTATGGTACGCTGACCCCAACCCCCCTCAGGAAATTCCTGCATCCGCCCCTGGCAGGGACGCATACATGGTGCAAATCAACACTTACCCAAAGCACAGAAGAGCATGCTGACATAAATTCCAATACTTGTTTATGATGTCCTCGGTACATACTGCACATATACGCATGGCAGAATAGTCAATTGTTGCAGGAATGCCCAAGAAAGCACTTACCACATTTGAGATGGGCAAGTACAAGCCGAAAAAGAAGGAACAGAAGAATTAGCCCAGAATATGCCTGGCACACGCTCGAGTTAAGGATGATTTTGACTGCATGTCGCTGCATGTGCCCGGCTACTAAATGCTGGAATTCCGTGTGACTCACCAACCGGGGGGCCCGCCTGAGGCACAGACTCCTGGTCGCAGTTTTGCACTTTGCTGGATTGTGCCTCTGTGTGCGAGGGCAAGGCTTGTGCTGAAATTGTAAACTTTGTCAGTATGCAGTTCAATGCTACTTGCATTAATTCATCACCTTGGACAAGCATATTCTCAATAATCTGTGAAGGAGGAAATACGACACCTGTGAGAGCAGCAGTTGAATGCAGAGATGGAAGCGTCTGGATGCTGTCTTCCTCCTACATTGGCTCCCCTGCTTAAAATAGGTAGCATTTTAATACCAAATCTAGCAACCAAGTGACTGCAAATTCCCCATCTCTGACTGTGTCAACTTACCTTGGATGTTTCCCAATTCCCTTTCTCGCGGTGGTCATCGAACTGGCTTTGGCAGCCTATGGCTAAAGTTGCTGTGACAGTGTCTGGTTTAAGTTTTTTGATGCCATGGCTCTGCCAGATCCGAGGTTCAAACTGATCCGGTGAAAAATGGTTCTGTCGAGAATGAACAGGGCTAACTTGCAATTCACGGGACAGTGCACTGAGAACACTAAAAAATTCGACTTTGTTTGGAGGTAGAGATCGTCACACTGTTAGTACAGAAGAGCGATCGCCGCTTTTTTTCTCTATCGGAATAAAAATTCGTCATCAAAACTGCTAGCGCGGTGGGAAGGGCTAATTTGGGACGCTAACCTAAGCGGTAAAATTTAGCGCAAAGCAACACTCCATGGAAGTAAAATACGTAGAGACACCGATGCTCTGTTCGCGCTAACAGTGCCGCGCATTGTACGCCCTCCACGCGCGCGGACAGTACGAGCTGGAGCACCCGATCCAACCTTTTTCTGCGACTCCCACAAGCTCCATTATTCCTCAACTTCGCTTTCTATTCCTAGTTCGGACTACAGCTCTCTCAAAAACAGGTGTAAGTTAAAGAAACATGAAAGGCGTTTTCGGCTCATGTTGGTCCTCGGTAGTAGCTTTTCGTGTTTCCTAGAGGTTCACTGGGAGACACTCACAGCTGAAGCGGCCAATCGGCGGCGTCATCTATTCATATCGTGTCCCTTAAAAACTCAGACTACGCGAAAAACTTTGCCGGCGAACAACCGGGTTTTCGAGTGAAAAACAACGGGCTAAAACGGCAGAGCATCGAGGCCGCACTTCAGCTGAGACCGAGTTCGGCAGTCAGGCGCGTCAGGAAAAACATTGCATGTGTACCTATGTGAACGTGTGTGGAAGAGGTAACTAGCCCAGAAATGCTCACCTCACAAAGCTTGCTGCTTCTGGTAAGGACGAAGTTTTTCCTCCCAATCATGTGGAGCCATGCCTTCTGCCTCTTCAGATCGGCTTTCCGAAGCGGAACGGCGAACAACTTTTTTCCACTACCAGAACTCTGGCTGCACCCAAAAGCGCAACACCCCGTCATCTAACACAAATGCTTACTACTTCACTTGCCTCATTACGGTCCAGAAACACCAGGACGTCGAGCTGAAGTCGTCGGCGAGTATCACGAAACACGCGAGCGGACGGAGCAGCCGAGCAGCTTGGAAGCAAATGGCGGACGGAAGTGGCGACGATTCCGGAAATCACGTGACATCGCTCTCCTCCAATAGAAACAGATGTCGGCGCGGCAAAGAATGACGGTACTTGTAAGACGCAGTGAAAAAACATCGAGGGACTTTAAGTGTGTTCCCTCGTCCTAAGAAATGTTAAGAGGTTTCAACAGGTCTCGCCTCTCTCGACCGTACTCGGTCGCAAAAGTGTGAACGGGCCTTTAGTTGCCAGAGCTCCGAACGCCCCTATCGGCATGCCACGACGACTTCTCTGCGTGAGATACGGGAGAGCCGCTTCCCAGACAAGGAGCCGGAAGCAGACGACGTTGGAGAGACTGCCGCCGGGGGGCTTTCCAGCATCTTCTGCAGCCTGTCCTGAGTGGCATCTTGGCCGCGGCAGCAAAGGGCGGCGGTCCGAGACTTAATATAGTTTCCGAATTTCTTTTCTTTTTTTTTTTTAGTTATAATTTTTTTTGCTATATCTGCGGGAGCCGCTCCATTTCCTTCGCTAAAAACAGACACAAATACTTTGAAGAAGTGCAAACGGAAATGGGAAATTGTGATCGCTTCGCTGTAGCAACTATTTCGTTATAAGCGACTTCGGTATAACCGGTCTCGACAGTACACGTAAGACTCACTTTTGATAGCAGGCTGGTATAATTAATCAAGCAGCGCAGGCTCTTAAACAAAACCAAGACATCCCCTTTCATCCAGCACTGTTTCAGGCTCAGCGCACTGACAGATTCTGAACTAATCACAAAGATTGAACAGCGTACTCCTTTCTTCATGTAACAAACTTTCAAGATTGAAGTAAATCTGTTTTTCTGTCGTTCGACTCTCAATGATATATCTTTAGAAAGATCGTTCTAAACAGCTGATGCTTTTTCTAGCTGGAATATACAGGGTGTTCCACGCAACTTTAGCCAAAGTTTAAAAACTTAGGCTATTTTTGTATTTCGCCCAATTAAATATTGATTAATTAATAAAATTTTGGTGTAATACATTTAGAGCAAAAGTTCCAACGGCAATGCTGTAAAGCGTCCTCAGAAACATCGAATTCAGTGGCTTTTTTATAAAGAAACCTAATATGGTTATGTCTTATAAACTAAAAAAAAAAAATCAAACTACAAAAAAAAAAAAAAACGTGATTTCGCGTTTGCGCGCCTTGTATTGCGGCGCTCTCAGGCGTGGCTTGAAGAAACTAGGCCGGCATGCTGAATAGACCACTGTTGACAAGGAGCCCGTTGACGGATTCGCGTTTTTTCGTGTTTTTCTTTGTCTTTTTTTTTTTTTTTTTTTTTTATGAATCGCGCGCTTTTTTGAATTCCGGAAAATCGAAGCGTGTTAGGGACTTCTTGACAAAAACCACTGAATCGATCTATATACCTCTTGCTATATTATCCAAGCATCAAGGAGAATGCAGGGATTGGTGTTCCACGCGCCGCACGTGCTGGCCTCAGCAGTGGTAGCTGTTCTGAAGCAAAAGCCTAAAACAAAATTCATATTGCACGCGCGTTCGTCAACGCATTATTTCAGTTATTTATTTCGAATCCTTTATATGGGGAAGGCCTGCACGTGTGGCGCGTGGAACAGCAATCCCTGCATTCTCCTTGATGCTTGGGTGATTCAGCAATAGGTCTATTGGATGTTTCTGAGGACACTCTACAACTTCGCCATTGGAACGTTTGTTCTAAATAGTTAATTGGGAAAAATACAAAAAATAGCCTGACGTGCGCTAAGCAATAAACAAAATTATTCCTTTGCTTTTGCTTTTCTGAACTGCACCAAAATATTTTAAAACTTTGGCTAAAGTTACGTGAAATACCCTGTATACAGGGACCAGGGCTTTTGATTTTAATTCAAACATATTTGTGTAGAAATAGGTGGTGAAAGCTAGTCAGGTTCTTTTTTTGTCGCGTGATTATCAGGCTCGGCGGACGTTAGAGTAAGGAATAATCGTTACGGAAAGTTGACTAATTAACTAAAATCCCTCGATTAACGTCTTTTCTAATTATTGGTTTTAGATATTACCTTTTTTTTAATTATTGGTTTTAGATATTACCTTTTTTTTAATTATTGGTTTTAGATGGTCATGTTGGAATTGCAGTATTGACGGCCTTTGCAATATTGACGGCAGACTAATATAAAGAAGTCGTGAAAATGTAATGCTTTCCGAGATATTAATAGAAGCATTTTCCCGTTTTTTCTCCCGATTTGTAAATTTCGCCTCGAAAGAGCGTCGTAAGTTCTGCCCAGAGGGACCCTCGGAAGAGTGACGCCGTCGTTTCGATCATGTCGTCCCTATCTCGGCAAGGTGTCCCTGGTGGTTGCGTTCGACGACGCCAGCGGCGACGCGACTTAATCGACTACGTCAATCTTCTAAGCCTCATCGTGGGCAGGGCTTGAAGCGTTCTTTCTGCGCGCAATTTTTACATCGGTCTCGAAAACGCGAAAGTTAATAAAATAATATCTAAAAAATTCATCACATTTTCGTGAAACTTTTAAGTTGGTCTGGCCTCGAAGAGTAATTGCCATAAATATTGCAATTCTAACCTGATCCCCAAGGCCAATAATTAAAAAAAGTTAATGAACATATTTGATTTAATTAATCAACTTATTGTGACGCTTATTCCCTCATCTGATGTATGCCGTGTCTGATAAATACATGGTGAAGATGATACACGTCTTACTCTTATGCCCATACCTCTACGGTATGGGTTATCGGTCTTTCTGTGGCGTCGCGGCTGCCCTGAGGCGGAATATATATTATTATTATTATTATTATTATTATTATTATTATTATTATTATTATTATTATTATTATTATTACTATGATTATTATTATTATATTACCAATCTTGTTAGCTTTATGTCTGCTGCATCTCGTGTAATATGTAACAGAGGTCAGTTAGACGTTGTCTACTTTGACTTAAGTAAGGCTTTTGACGTAGTCAATCACATAATTCTTTTATCCAAACTTTCCTCCTATGGAGTATGTGGCTCAGTACATGACTGGTTAAAAAGCTACTTGTCAGAGAGAGAGGCATATGTCCGGGTTAACAACATGAACTCTTCGTTGTACAGGACTCGCTCTGGCGTTCCTCAGGGATCTGTTTTAGGACCCCTTCTGTTCACAATTTTCGTAAATGACGTCTCTTTTGCTGTTTTAAATTCTTCATTCCTGCAATATGCTGACGATATAAAAATTTATCGAGAAATAGTTACTGAACGTGATTGTGCTAAGCTCCAGGAAGATGCATGTTCTTTCTACCGATGGTGCTCTGAAAATGACCTTTTCTTGAACCCGTCCAAAACCAAGGTCATGACGCTCTCTCGGAAAACTCACAATATCTCTTTTGCATATAATATTCAAGGAGAGACTTTGTCTCGAGTAAGTGTAATGAAAGATCTCGGAGTCATTGTTGATTCTGGGTTGCGTTTCTCTGATCACGTTGGTAGGCTGGTTAACTCGTCTTTGCGAATGTTGGGTGTTGCCTCTCGCTTAACCAGGGAGTTCAAAAACCCGACGGCTTTTATCACGTTATACTGCTCGCTATCCAGGTCACAGTTAGAATATGCCTCAGTTGTTTGGAATGGAATTTCTAAAAGTCACTCCTTGGAGATCGAGCGTGTGCAAAAAAAGTTTGTTTCTATCTTTAAACATCGCTACATAAAGGAGGATGTTCACTGTTTAACATATGAGTGCGTTAGAGCGTGTTGGTTTGCTTAGCTTGCACCGGCGTCGGGAGAACGCGGACTTACTATTTTTGTTTAAAACGCTGCATGGACTCATCAATTCTCCGAGCCTGTTATCTGAACTGTGCCTTAGGGT